GAGATCAAATGAACGCCTTTACACACTCATCGGGCGGAACCGCTCACTGCAGAGCGCCGCCCTCTCGCGGCTCTCGAGAGCGAGTTTTCGCCAGACAGCCACACGTCCATTATGGCGCGCGTTCTCGCCGGACGGACGTTCGCCGGCAGGCCGCGAGGGCATCTGCCGGCGCTCGTCTGCCAAAGTGGCGCCAGAGTGGAGAACTGGAGGCTGCATATTCAAACGGCCGAGGCGGTCTACCGTCCGGCGGCGGCGGTCTACCGTTCGGCGGCTGAAAAGGGGTAGCAGTCTACCGCGGTCTACCAAGTCTACCGGTAGACTGCAGTCGTAGGTTCATTACGGTCTACCGGTAGACTGCGGTAGACTGCCGGTAGACTCGTCTACCAAATGGTCTACCGTCTACCCCAGTCTACCCCAGTCTACCGGTAGACGGTAGACGGGCCACCCCTCAGGATCCTGCTACGGCAGTACCCCTGGGCTCCCCCCCCCCCCGCCCCGCCGGGCCCGCCGCGTCTTGCGCGAGTAGACGGGCAGCTGGTGCGCGACTCAACTCCCACACCCTTAGGTGACCCCGCTGTGTGCTGGGAGCGTGAGCTGCGCCGCGTTCCGCATCATCGTCTCGCAGTTTTATGCGCGATCAACGGCTTCAGGTCCCTTCTCGCCGTCCGCCGTCTGCACTTGGACAGCAGGAACGGGGTCTGCCTGAGGAATCGAAGCGGCGCGCTTCACGGTGATACGCGTATTCATCTTGAGGACGTAGACGAGGGCGACAATGAACGCGAAGACAGCGGCAACCCCTCCGACTACGCCCCCGATGATCGCGCCAAGCGGAACCCCACCGCCACCGATGATCGCGCCAAGCGGTGGTGGCGATGGCGGTGGCGGTGGCGGCGGTGGCGGTGGCGGCGGTGGCGGCGGTGGCGGTGGCGACAGAGACGGCGGCGGCGGCGGCGGTGGCGGCCGCGGTGACGCAGGTGGTGGCAACGGCAAATAAAAGCGATGTTCTGCGTCCTCGGGAGTCATGGCCTGCGTCTCTATCCCAATCTGGCTCCATGCCGTCTTGAGCGGTAGCATATTCTCCTCGGTCCCGACACCGGAAACAACTCTGGTCCCATCTGTGCCACGAGTTGGTTGTCCACGAGGCCAAAAGCCACCATATGCCCCTCGCCATCTGCTCGGCGAATGCCAACCCCCTCCCCCTCCTCGAGTGCATCACGGAATCGGCGGTCGAAAGCCATCACCTCTAGCAAGCCCTGGAACACCGCCACAGGGAGCAGCTCGACCGGTGGCAGCGTAGACGCCGAGACGACAACCAACACGAACGCTGGCGGTTGTGGCGGCAGCGGCGGGGATGGTGGAGGTGGATGAAATGGATGCAAATATAGACATCAATGCGCAGGCAGAGCTGGTCGTCAGACAGAGCTTGGAGGCTGTGGGAGCCTTTGGCATGCATACCCTCGGCCTGAGGGTGCTATTCCGAAAAAATGAGTTCCAGCGGAAACTGAGTCAGAACCCATCCTCACCCCAAGATCGACTCAGCATCAATGTTGTGGCAAGGACGTGGGTCAGCATGAAACCAGCGCTCTATATCGGCGTCTTTGCTGCGGCCCCTGGTGAGCTCCTCGGCCTTACTGCAGATGCTGATGCATACCTCAAGGCGACGGTCAGTTTGTACCTACACGTAGACTTCAAATATACCTCTGAGAACCACCTGACCCCCCTTGCCTCTAATTGGTGCGGCGAGACTGCATTTGGCTGCAATGAGGCGTGCTCCGAGAGGCACAACACACAGTTCAAGGCAAGGGCAAGTCTCCAACTCGGCCTCGCATACAAACTATACGCAAGGGCGCATTGGGGCCCATGGGGTCACACCTTCGGATCGAACGAAGAGAAAGGTGTGACTTTGAATGCCTCCACCTCTAAAGATTTGTTTGCCTGGTGCTCCGATCTTACCGATCATCGATCGGCGCCGGCCAACAAGGGGCTGATCGTCAAGGCAGGGGCAGCTGGCGGCGGGGTGGCGGGGTTTCTGCTGCTCGTGGGCGTCGGCTATCTCATTGCGCGCCGCAAGCGGAAGGTCGCAGCTGCCGATGGAGGCGACAGTAGAAGCGTCAAGACGTCGCAAACAAGCACTCCCCCATCGAGCCGTCCGAGTGGCGATCCAGCACATGTGGGCGGGATGCAGACTACTGACCCGTCTGCTGCAGCCCTGCCAACTCACGACCGTGTAGCTGAGAGGGTTCAACGTGCACGTGAGTTGGCAGCGTGAGCCCGAGGGGGGCGTTTGGGACTGGTCTGCGTCTGCTGCTGGTGGCGCACGGCTCGGGTGTGACAGAGCTGCGCTAGGGACTGTCAAGGCTCTGTCAGGACTCTCTGTCGACGACACGACGATTTCCAATACCAAATCTCCAGCACCCACACACGTTACTTGTAACTTGTTTTTTTGACTCAACAAAGAATTTTACAACAAAAGCTCCCTCGCAAACAAAGAACCCTGCACTGTGCACAAAGACCGCCGCACGCGGGGGACCTGTTCTCCTTTTTACCCATCTCGCCTATAGTGAGCCGTCCTCTTTATATTTTTATGTTTTTGATTAATCTGGCAGCTGCGCCCCCCTACGATTACGCACTCACCTGGACTTGGGGTCTGTCCGACTGCTCAGCAAGGCCCGATACTCCTCCTTGAGTGTCTCCGCCCTCGAGCTGTTGCCCGCTACCGCCGTCGCACGGATGAGCTCGCGAAGGAGCCGCTCGGCGGCGTCGGCCAGGTCCCTTCGGAGGGAAGCGACGAGGGAATCGTCGGCGTCGCCACCGCCGCTCGCAACCGGTCGGCCTTGCAGGAGGCTCAGCCCGGCGCGAGCGTGCGTCAGCCCGGACTCGAGCCGTGCGCGGTGGCCGCCCCCCGCCGTGCCCGCGGCCGCAGTCGCGCCTGCCCCCGCGCCCGACGAGGAGAGGTAGAAGGTGGCGAGGTCGAGGCGGCACGCAGCCGCGCACTCCTCCATCGCTGCCGACGCGGACCCCTCTGCGGGTGGCGAGAGCGCGCGATCATAGTGCCTGAGGGGGCGAGCGTGGGGCGCGATCTCGATCCATCTCGCTCCATCCGTCTCGGCCACTCTCGGCCACTCTCGGCCAATCTCAGCCACTCTCGGCCACTCTCGGCCACTCTCGGCTACTCTTGCCTGAGGGCGAGCGTGAGGCGCGACGATGCCGTCGTCCGCCCGCGGCCTCCGCCGCCGCCGCGCTCGCGCCTCGCTCCGACCAGGTAGAGGAAGCCCTGCCACCGCGCCATCTCCTGCGCGCGCGCGGCCTCGCCCAGCTCCTGAAGAGAGGCGAGGGGGCGGCCGGGTGAGGGACGGTGTGAAGCTGCCGCGCGCGCGACACCGCCGTCCCGCGCGCGCCTCGTTGAGGGCTTGGGCGCGGCCTAGTGACTCGGCCGCCCGCCCGAACGCCGGCTCCGCGCGCTCGGCGCCGCGCTCGGCGCCGCGCTCGGCGCTGCGCTCGATGGCGGCGAGCAGCGTGAGCCCGAGCTCGCGCTCGTCGTCCGCTAGCTGGCGCACCTAATTAATAGTTAATTAATAGTTAATTAATAGTTAATTAATAGCTCACGCTCGTCGTCCGCGAGTTGGCGCACCGACGCGAGGTAGAAGGAGGGCTGCGCGCCTCGGAGCGGCCGGATCGCGTCCACCTACTCTCGGGCAGTCTCGGGTAATCTCGGGTGATCTCAACCAATCTCGGGTGATCTCGGCCGGATCGCGTCCACCGCCCTCCGCTGCTGCCTCGCCGCCTCGGCCAGCTGCTCCACCTCCTCGGCACTCGGGACCTCCTCGAGCACGGCGGCGCCTGCGATGGGAGAGAGCGCCGGCCTGGTGAGGCCCGGTGCGACTCCCTCCCCCCCGCCAACGCCTCCCTCGGGCGGCAGCGACGCGCCGGCAGCGACCAGCGCCTGCAGCGTGGCCGAGCGACACGACGAGCGGGCGCGCTGCTTCGAGCGGGCGCGCGAGCGGCAGACAGTCGCGTGGTTGACGAGGACGAGCGCCGCGTTGACAGGGTCGGACGCGTGCGAGAATGCGGCGAACGCGTCCCGAAAGGAGGCCTGTGGCGCGGGGGCCGCACGGCGCGTCACGGCGTGGACGCGTCGCCGGCGCGGCAAGCCCCTCCCCGAAAGGGCGCCTCCGCGGCGCGCAGCTCCCCCGCGACGAGCGCGAGCCGGCCTCGCTGGTTGAGGCCGCCGCCGAGTCTGCGCACCAGCGCGGGCGGGTCCGCCCCAACCTTGTCGCTCAGCCGGAGGGCCCAGTAGTAGCAGCCGCAAGCGTCCTGCACGTTGCCGGCCCGGCTGAGCGCCGCCGTCTCGCTGCCCAGCGCCCCCGCCAGCGACGGGAGCGGCGCGACGCCGCCCGCCGTCAGCGTGTCGGAGAGCCAGTCGCGCAGGGCGGAGGCCTGCGCTGGCTCGGAGGCGGGCGAGGCAGCGTCGCCGCCCGCCTCGGAGAGCCTCATCCATGTGTCGCCCGCCTGCTGCGCCAGCTGGGCGAGGATCGGCAGGCTCCGCACGCTGCACCGCGGCCGCGCCGTCGACGCCTTTGCGCCGCCGCCGCCGCCGCCGCCGCCGCCGCCGCCGCCGCCGCCGCGGCCGCTCAGAGGGACACTGCGCGGGGACGGCGGCGGCGACGGTGGGGCGGCTCGGCCTGAGCGCTCTCCCGGAAGGACGAGCGGCGACGGGAGGGTCGAGGGGCGTGGCACGTCCACGGCGCCAGCGGTGCCGCCGGTGCACGCGACGAGCGTCAGTGCGGCGGCACGCAACAGGTGCAGCTTCGAGGCGGCGCAGCCGAGCGCGCCCGAGCCGGGCGCGCCGCCGCCCTCTTGTCCCGCCGCCCCCCTCCTCTCGGCCTCGGCCTCGCCAGGGGGCGCCTCCTCCCTGAGCGCGTCGCACAGGGAGAGCGAGGCGGTGGCGAGGCCGAGTGCGAGCTCCGCGCGGTGCTCCGCCAGCCGGCCCGCCTCCGAGACGGCCTGGAGCTCGGGCACCTGCTCACACTTGCAGCTGTGGACAGCGCGCCGTGCTCACCCCTCACAGCCTCGAGGCTCAGCGCGGGCTCCTCGCGCAGCAGCTGGGAGGTGCGCGGCGGAGGCTGGGCGGTGGCGAGCGCCGCACCGCGGATCGCCTAGCACACGCAGCAGTTTGCTTGCACTCCCATGAGGCAAGAGAAGAGGCTCGACACACCTCGCCTCCGCGAGGTGGAGGAGCGTCGCCGCGCGGCCCCACTCCGCCTCGGGCAGCGACCTCCCGAGCAGCGAGAGCAGCGAGAGCAGGCCTGCGGAGGTAAGGTAAGGTAAGGTAGACTTCTCCACACACACGAGGTGGTGGGGCAAGGGGGGGCGACCCTCGCGTCTCCACGTCTAACGACAGGAGCCCCACGGCATTTAAAGTGCAAGGCCCGGTGCGCGTGGGTGAGCGGTGTGTGTGTGTGTGTGTGTGTGTGTGTGTGTGTGTGTGTGTGTGTGTGTGTGTGTGTAGGCCTGCGGAGACGGAACACGCCGCCGGGCCGGACGGGTACGGCGGCGACGAGACCGGAGATTTGTGGATGGGGGAGCGGGCGAGAGGGGCCGAGCCCGACTCTCCGGGCCTCGCGCGGCGAGCCGGGGAGTCGACGCCCGCCGATCCGCCCCGGGCCGCCACCGCCTCGGCTGCCGCCGCCGCCTCGGCTGCCGCCGCCGCCTCGGCTGCCGCCGCCGCCTCGGCTGCCGCCGCCGCCTCGGCTGCCGCCGCCGCCTCGGCTGCCGCCGCCGCCTCGGTGGCGGCGGCGGCGGCGGCCTGAGAGAGCTGCGCGAGCTGCGCGTGAGCCACCGACCAGAGCAGCGGGTGGTCTCTCACCCCGAGGAGCTCGGTGCACTGCAGCAGCAGCGAGCGCCGCTCCGACGCGGACAACCCGCCGCCCGAGGGGGGCCGCTGCGCCATCCGCCAGCACATGAGGGCGACCGCGTGGCCGAACGGGTTGTGCGCGGCGTGGGTGGTGGCCGTGTACGCGTCGCAGAGCGCGCGCAGGTCGAAGACGCGCAGGAAGTCAGCGCCAGCCTCCTTGAGAACCTACAGCCGAGAGGCGCTCCGAAGGTGCAGCTGGTGGGGCCCAGCCACCGAGGGCTCGCGGCGCGGCGGCTAGAGAGAGAGATTTGTGTTCGGGGGCACGGGACGCGGCACAACACTCGCACGATTCGCACGACAGGCAAGGCGCAAGAGATGGCACTGAGGGAGGGTGTAGAGGATGTAGAGTGTAGAGCGCTGTAGAGCTGTAGAGCTGTAGAGCGCTGGAGAGCGCTGGAGAGCTGTAGAGCTCTACATCCGAGCGACCCAATACGACCCTCCCGGCCGGGTGCAGTGCGCGTGCAGGAAGGAGAGGAGCGCGTGCGCGTTGTCGAGCACGGCCGCCGAGTCGAACACCGCGCCCGGCCAGTTCGGGAGCTCCTGCGCGCGTGGGCAAGACGAGGCGTCGTGCGGAGATGCTCCGAGCCGCCGGGCCAGCGGCGGGTACGGCGGCTCGCCTCTGTCTTGACCACCTGGTACCCCTGCACCACCCCTCCGACGTGGCCGCACACAGCGACCGTCGGGATGGCTGCCATCAGGTTATCGAGCCAGTAGTCGAGGGTGGTGGCCGGGCGGAGAGGCATCGACCTGCAGGACGTGCGACTCGTGGGCGGGAGGCAGGGAG